TGCACAGCAACAACAGTAGCAACAAACTACACTAATAGTAGTGACTGATGATGATGAACATGAAGAAGATGATGACGATGACAACAAATATGTGAATTATTGTGTTTTTGGTACTAAGACAATACTTATGTCTCATAAGTGTTGTTTACGAGTGCAGGTTGTCAGTATGAAATAGTTATGACAAATTGATGCATTAAAACAAAAACAAAACCAAACACTGGCTCTAGATAGGGGCACTGGTCCTTTAAAATAGTATGAACTGTTAAAATCAACATGGATTGAGGTTAGGTTGTCAGAATGGGCCAAGAGTGAGTTTATAATGAATGAATGGATGAATGGGTCCGTAACTACATGAACAGATACACATGATTTCAGTGAGCTTTCTGTAGATGGCAGGCGTAGTTCAGTCTAAAATCATATCAGAGTAGGATTCCGGAGATATTTTATCCAGGGCTAAAGCAACACTGGCACACTGGCATACATTTGGCGCTATTGTCTTATAAATGAAACAGGCATGGTCTATTGTATTGCTTTATTGTTTTCTTTCATTTTGGTTTTATTATATGAGATAGAAAATGAAAATCAGTCCATTCTTTAAATTTAACTCATCCAACTTTGCCTGTTAAAAAGCGCCTTGAACTTAATTTAACTTTAACAATGCATCATATTGTATACTGATCCTGTGTTTTGTATGTAAACCAAATATTTTACTCTGAGGAGTGGATGCAGTACCACACTGTAAATAACAGATTTATGTTTTTTTCCTTTTTAAATTGCAAATAGATTACAGAATATAGGGGGTTCCTTATCAAGAGAAAATAAACTTGGAAATGAAAAATCAGAGTTTCAAGGCCTTTTCTATAAATTCTATTTTGTGTCAAAAATGCTTTGAAATCCATCCTTTAAACTTTTGTGACAAAATCTTTTCTTTATAGAATAGGAAATCTATAGAGCCCTAAGGGGACATGGGCAACCCCCCCCCCCAAAAAAAAAAAAACAAAACAAAAAATCTTTAAGTTTCTGGTGTGCAACACTTAAACACTTTTGTATAAAAGATCGGGATTGCCAACTTCAAAACGTTCATTTTTCAAAATCATAATTTTGACATAGAATTAAAGAGCAGACAGAAAAACAACTGGTCATGGTTAATTAATTTTCATTTTAAAATACAAAGATACATAGACATATCCTGAGAGAGACAGGATCATCAAATGTTACACTGGCATTGTGCCAGTGTTGCTTTACTGCAGGCTAAAATCTCTTTAGAACCGTGGTGGGGTTTTCTTGGAGGTAGACAACTAAAGTACATAATAAAGTGTAAACATAGAACTTTTTTCTTTCTTTCTTCTTCTTCTTTTTTTTAATTTTTTTAGAAAATCCTTTTAAAAAAGGTTTGGGTTTAAAAGCTTTTTTGATTCAGAATTAAAGAAGCTACTACTTTTTTTAAATGTAACACTGGAAGTTCTAGTAGTGTAGTGCAAATGTATTATTTAGATGGTAACAGCGCCTCCCAGTGGTTGGAATAACCTACTGCAAAAGTCCAACTGAGTCTCCTCGTTGATGGCTTTGCACTGTAATATAACGTTACTACGGAATCACATGACATTATTATTAGCAGTATGTATGAACTGAAATTGTCTGAACTAAACAATTAAACTGATTAGAATAAGGTCTGGGAAGAGTGTAGCAAAATAAGAGACACTGACACACAGGCCTGAGGTTACATGTATTATTCAGCGGTGTAACATTACCTGACTCATCAAAGTTCCATGTGTCAGTGCAGGTGGAAGACTAAGGAAATAAAATACAGTGGATACAGTGTTTGCCTTAGGTTATTTCAGTGTTCTCCTCCCCCACACTGAACAAGACAGGCAGCAGATATTATTTGCATTAGACAGCACCATGGTGATGCTGTCTGAGTACACACACAGGCACTCACTTCACTTCACTCATGTTCAACAGGTGATTTGTAGGAAAGCTCCTGGTCAAACAGTTTCCAGTAACTGACTGTAAACTCTGAAACAAAAGAGAAAGCATGTAATAGAGCTGATATCACTCAGTGCCTGCTGCCTGTGATGGTTGGATAACGTGTGGCACAGAGCGGTGCCCTGCAGGTGTAGGTGCAGGCTGAGGACACGCACAGCACAGCCGACTGCAGCTGCTTTTACTGAGGGGCTCTAGAGCACCGCCGGTAAGTCCTCCGTTCTCATTTGTGTTTGACAAAACTCTACTTTTCCAGCTTTTCAGGAATGCTTTGACCTTTTAGTAAGATGTTCCTCTGTTGTCAGTAAACACACAGTGAAGCACATCACAGCTGCTTCTCTCTCTAAATGTTGTTAATAGTGTATATATAGCTTTAGAATTGGATGTGGTAGTCTATCTATATATATTATATATGTATATATCTATATATAATATTCTTCATTTTCTATTTCTATTATATCTTGTATTTTTCTTTTCTATTGTTATTTAATCTGTATTTTCTAATCTATTGTGTTGTGTTGTATGTGGAGCTGCTGTAACAAACTAATTTCCCCAGTGTGGGAATAATAAAGTCTATCCTATCTCATTTAAAAGGTCACAAAATGACTTTTACCCTTTACCAACCTGCCTGCCATGGTCAGATCCTGTGACCTGATAAGGAATGACAGCCATGTTTCAACAAGATGTTACCAGCTGTCAGAATAAAGTAATACAATATGAAACAAAACATTTGCAATGGGGAGACATCTGAAAACCCTAGCCATGTCACCAGACTGTAATGGGTTACAGAATCTGGGGTAACGCTGTCTGTAGTCTTTACATTTCCTGAGCAGAGCCAACCGGGTACAGCAGGCAGCTTGGAGGGTTGTTGGTGTGTGTTTGAATATTTGCAAATTTGTTTGTGCCACTGAAGCACAGCAGAGTTCTTGATTACTAGTTTACATGATTGTAGATTACTAGTAATATTATTTATTTCCCCAGTAACTAGTAGTGTAACTGATTACCACGGAAGCCGAGAACGGCCATGGATTTTTTTATTGCACTGTTATCTCGTGATAACGACTTATTAATTTGTTAATAAGTTTGTTTTCTCGAGATAACGAATTAATTATTTCGTTATCTCGACATAACAAAGATCGTTATCTCGTGATAACGAATTAATTAATAATGTGTTCGTCTTGACTTTAAACTAATGCGATAATG